TGGGTGTTGTGATGCCCGACTGTCATCAGAGACTTCGGGATAAAACCGGAGCATCCTAGGTTCCCAGCCAACCTCAGCCATATACCAAGACCCTGTCAAAAAAAAATCGTAAAGGAAAAACAATTGGTTGGCTAGGTGTCATCAAAATAAAACCTTTGCTCTTCAAAATTCAGTGTGAAGATTAAGAAAAGGCTAGCTGACCCCTCTCTTAGGCTTTTTATTGTTATGAAAAGACACCATGACCCCAATAACTCTTGGTAATGAAAATATTTAGCTGAGGGGGTTTGCTTACAGTTTCAGATGCTCAGCCCATTATCATCATGGCGGGAGCATGGCGGCGTGCAGGCAGACGTGGTGCTGGAGCTGAGAGTGCTACATCTTACAGGCAACAGGAAGTTGACTGGCTGTCACGCACAGAGAAGTTTTAGCAAAAGACACCTCAAAGCTCATCTCCACAATGACACAAGTCCTCCAAGAAGACCACACTTACTTCAGCAAGGCCACACCTACTTCAACAAGGCCACACCACCTCACAGTACCACTCCTCTTCTTCCAAACTACCACAACCACCAAGAAAGAATAGCTTCAAAGAATACCTTCCTGGGGCTGGAGAGGGGACTCAGTGGTTAAGAGCACTGACTGTTCTTCCTAGAGGTTCTGAGTTCAATTCCCAGCACCCACAAGGTGGCTCACAACCGTCCATAATGAGATCTGGTGCCCTCTTCTGGCGTGTGGGCATACATGCAGTACAGAACACTATATACATGAGAGAGAGAGAGAGAGAGAGAGAGAGAGAGAGAGGGGGGGGGGGGGGGGGGGGGGGGGGGGGGGGGAGGAAGGAAGGAAGGAAGGAAGGAAGGAAGGAAGGAAGGAAGGAAGGAAGGAAGGAAGGAAGGAAGGAAGGAAGCTGTGAACTGGTCATGGTAGCACATGCCTAGAATTCCAGGAGGATCAGGATGTAGTGAATCTGAGGCCAGCCTGGACTACAATGAGACCCTGACTCAGAAACAAAAAAGGAAAAAACAAAAAGAATACCTTCCCTTGTCTGTTGTATTTTTATTGTGTGTACTCGTAGGGGAGGGACACAATGCCACAGCACACAGGTGGATGTCAGAAGACACGTGTGTGGAGTTGGTTCTTTCCTTCCATCTTAACGTGGGCTTCAGGAATCCAGCTCAGGCTTATATCATTGGGTGGCATGCACACTTCTCTGCTGAGGAATCTGACCAGTCCCCAAATTCCACTTCTTACAAAGAATGCAAATTCTGAAGAACTCCTACAGTTCAGTATGAAAGGGCAGAAATGCAATTTTTATGTGTATAGGTGTTTTGCTGGCGGGTATGTCTGTGCACCACGTTTGCAGTGCCCAAGAAGATAAGAAGAGGGCTATAAATCTCCTGGAACTGGAGTTATAGAGGCTGCGAGCCTCAGATGGGTGCTGGAAATTGAACCTGGGTCCTCTGGAAGAGCAGTCGGTTCTCTTAACTACTGAGCCATCTCTCCAGCCCTCACAGTCCAATTTTAAAATGGACAAATTATTTGGACAGGTATTTCACCAAAACCAGTCACAGCACAGCCAATGCACCTGTGAAACAGCCTCAAAATGATAACCACTGGGAGATGCAAGCCGAACCTGAAGGGATGCTGCAGAATAGCTGGGATGGCTAAGCCTGAGGACAGACGCTGCCAGAAACCCTTGGCAAGGACCGCGACACCTGGAACTCTCACACATGGCTGGCTGGGAAGCACACAGCAGGCCACTCGAGAAATCAATCTAGAAGTTTCTTAAATATTAAACCCGAACTACTGCCTTATAACCGAGAAATCCCACCACGTATCTACCCAAGAGAACCCCTTATTCCACATGTGGCATGTCACTGCTTTTCCAGTCTACACCCTAATCTAGATGCTGCAGACTGACCAGTGCTGAGAGGCAAGGTTTCTCCCGGCTCCAGGACTGTGCGCTGTTTACACATTCAATAAATCAAAGTCACTTTTCGATGCCAGAGGTCCTCTGGGTTTCTCACTGCCTGCCTCTCATTGGCAATCAATCATCCTCCGGACGTCATTGTTTTTCTCCTCTCCAAGGCACTGATGCACCCAGCAGTGGTCGCCTGGTGCCAAAGACCTCATGCTGAGCATCTCTGGCCCCGAGTGCCTAAACTGCTGCCCCTGCCAGCTCGCCTCCTTCCAACACACCACGCTGTCCCTTCTCAAGGCCACAGCTTCACACCAAGTCTGTCGACGCTCACCTGCCTAGCAATGTGGTCTTCATCACCCATCTGCATGGCCCGCCCCAGACCATGTTTCCCGGAACCCTTCTGGTACTAAGCATCATGGCGCCCTTTCTGGTAAGTCTCACTGAAATCTCTGAGATCTGCTTAGAGACAGGGGTCTCAGGAATGGCAGGTGTCAATCACATATCTAAGGGAAAGAAGAAGCTGAACCACTGGGTGGTTGCAACAGAAAGCTATGATGCTAGGAATCTCTGAGTCTTGAATATCTGTCCGGTACCTTCAGACAGAAGTCTTTTATCTTCAGACGAGAGATCTGGGCCTTCCTACCTCTTCCTTTGTCAAGCAGTAAGACGCTGACTTCCAGAGAAAGATAGCAACCCAGATCAAGGCGGGGAAAATTCCCAGAGAATTTTCTGAATTAACTGAGAACCATCAGCCCTAAGAGTGAACTGTTACCGTCTCGGAGGGAGTCCGCATGGATACAGCAACATCCACTGAGCTTGTTTTGTTCTACAGGAAAGCTGTCCGCACAGGAAAACAAGTAATTTTGCAATCATTTCCCAAGTAGAAGAGAACAAACACTTGCCAGTAGTTTCTTTCCCAGCCTAAGCCTCTTTCCCTTGAGGGTAGGAGAGACCCTGAAAAAAGATAGTGTCAAGAGGCTCCAGTCATCAGTACAAATGTGGTTTCAACTCATTACAGGCCACAAATCAGCCCACAACTTTGATCAGAAGGAATTAGCTATTAAGTACTTGGGCGTGTGTCAGACCTTATTCCAAGCTTTGAGTGTTTATGTGTATGAGCAAGCATATCTGTAAATCTACACATATATGTATGCAAAAATTGTGTTCATGTAACCCTCAGAATAACTTACTGAGAAAGCGCTTTCAATTATACCACTGCAGATAAGGACACAGAATATATTGGGGTGAGATCAACTTGCCCGGCATTTTTAGAGGCTGGGAAACAATCCAGTTCATTATCCTTACCGTGTGTCCTTTTTCAGGCCAGTTTTTGAGGACTTTTCTATGTGTATAGCATCCAGGTTATTGCTCTGGGTAGACGGCTGTCTCTGGTTTCAGTGTGATGGGATCTCACAGATCACAGCACCAGGACCTGTAGCAGCCATGACTTAACACCTAGATCTCTGAACTACAGAATGTGAGCCAGCCCAGGGCAGCATCTCCACAAGAGGACTGGCAGGACAGAGCTGTGATATGGGCTCGGCTCTGAATGGAGAGAGACCCTCACTATCGGGACAGGAGCAAATGTAGACATCGCTGCTTATGACCATCCTTGACCACAACATTCACAGCCCTGACTCCTGTAACAGACACACAGGTCATGGCCCCAAATACCAGGCCTAAAACTCACTGACCTGGCAGATTACTCCATATGGGATGCATGTGTCCAAAGGAAAGTATTAATGCCTCCACAAATGATCTTACTACATTTTTCTTCCCCCAAACTCTCTGATCTGGATCTGTTTCCAGTACTACCGGCAGCACCACTGTCTACCCAGCCTCAGTGAGAACTTGGGGCAACCCTGCATGTCATTTTTCTGCCACTGTTCCCTCCTGCGAGCTAGTGATCTCACTGACATCCCATTTAGCAAGAGCGGGCTCACACAGAACAGCCTCGATACAGCCATCCAGCACCCTGCGCTTCTATACACCAGATCTGGCAACTCCAGCAGGGTCTACGGCGTTCATACTCTAATAAGTTTCCAGGATGATCTCAACAACGCGGAATGTCAAACCAGTCCTTAGGTAATTCTGGTCATCGGCCAGGGCTGAGGATGCTGGCAAGAGGACAGCAGTCGCAATCCAGACCTGCTGCCCAGCTGCCTTCGCCCTCAGACTCAGAACTTGGCACCTCACACCCGGTGGCATCAGTGCCAAACCCCTGCATGGGGTCCAGGATGCCAGGCAAAGCTGGCTCTCGGTTTGTTTTGTGGCTTTGAGGAGTACTGTGACATCTCAGAATTAAAAATAAACAAAATTAAAGTTTAAAAGAAAAACTAAGTTCATCGGCTGCTTTCTCTACTCGCCAGCTGTGCAAACTTGGAAAGCCACACGTGAGCTCCATGAAGCCACACATAAGCTCCGCGGCCCCTGCATTTATTTTCTTCACTAGGGGAATGTTTATTGGGGCTTGGGAGATGCCTCAGAAGTTAACCTGCTGGCTGAACCGGCAGAAGGACCTTGGGTTCAGATCCCAAGAACTCATGTAAGAGCCAGAGATGATGGCCCACGTGTGTAACCTTAGCACTGGTCGAGGTGAAACAGGTGGACCCCTGAAGCTCGAGAGACAAACAGTCTCTCCAATCAGTAAGCTCAGGGTAAGCCTCTATATAGTGAGAGACTCTCAAAAAAAAAAAAAGAAAGGACTATGGCCTGAGACCAACCCTCAGAACCCACCACGGAGGTGGAAAACAAATGAATCCTCAAAGCTGTACTCTAATCTCCACATGCCAAGCTCACATTTGTGTAAACAAGCACATATACATGTATGTGCATGCACACACAGACACACACAGATACACACACGTGCACACAATGCATACACACACACGCCACAAAAATATAAATAAATGTTTAAAAATTAAACCATTGGGGAGAGTTATAGAGAAAGACCCCTGGCATTGACCTTTGGCCTTTGCACACATAGCCACATATTTGCACTTGCGCACACAGGCACAAGCATGCACACAGACTACATACACATAAACAGTAAAATTTAAAAAGAAATAAAGAGGGTAGGCCAGGAATGGAGCCGGTGGGCGGCGGCGGCTCCTCCTCCACCACCGACCCGCGAAGTACCTACGTGCTGAGTAACCTCGCGGAGGTGGTGGAGCGTGTGTTCACCTTCCTGCCCGCCAAGGCGCTGTTGCGGGTAGCCGGAGTGTGCCACCTATGGAGGGAGTGTGTTCGCAGAGTGCTGCGGACCCACCGCAGCGTGACCTGGATCTCCGCAGGGGTGGCGGAGGCCGGCCACCTGGAAGGACATTGCTTGGTCCGCGTGGTAGCAGAGGCGCTTGAGAATGTTCACATCTTACCACGGACCGTCCTCTACATGGCAGATTCTGAAACTTTCATTAGCCTGGAGGAGTGCCGTGGCCACAAAAGAGCGAGGAAAAGAACTACCATGGAGACAGCATTTGCCCTCGAGAAGCTGTTCCCCAAGCAGTGTCAGATCCTTGGGATTGTGACCCCGGGAATTATAGTGACGCCAATGGGATCAGGTAACAACCGACCTCAGGAAATAGAAATTGGAGAATCTGGTTTTGCTTTATTATTTCCTCAAATTGAAGGGATAAAAATTCGGCCCTTTCATTTTATTAAGGACCCCAAGAATTTAACACTCGAACGACATCAGCTTGCTGAAGTGGGTCTTCTGGATAACCCTGAGCTTCGCGTGGTCCTTGTCTTTGGCTATAACTGCTGTAAGGTGGGAGCCAATAATTACCTGCAGCGAGTGGTCAGCACTTTCAGCAACATGAACATCATCCTGGCTGGAGACCAGGTGGACAACTTGTCTTCACTGACTTCTGAGAAGAAGCCTCTGGATATTGATGCCACAGGTGTGGTTGGACTGTCGTTTAGTGGACAGCGAATCCAGAGCGCCACGGTTCTCCTCAGTGAGGATGTGACTGATGACAAGACGGCTGAGGCAGCCATGCAGCGTCTCAAAGCCGCCAACATCCCCGAAGAGAACACCGTCGGCTTCATGTTCGCGTGCGTGGGCCGGGGCTTTCAGTACTACAGAGCCAAGGGGAACGTGGAAGCTGACGCCTTTAGGAAGTTTTTTCCCAGTGTCCCCTTATTCGGTTTCTTCGGAAATGGGGAGATTGGATGTGACCGGATAGTCACCGGGAACTTCATACTGAGGAGGTGTAATGAGGTAAAGGAAGAGGACCTGTTCCATAGCTACACGACTATCATGGCGCTCATTCACCTGGGGGCCTCTAAATAGACTGGCTCTCACAGGATGTAACTTTGGGGGGTTGCCTTTTTCAGAAAAATGGAAACTTGGGATATAAGTATTTTAAAACCAAACTAGCTCCTTGTGCTTTGTAGCTTTGGTGCTCTGAGATCATGTTGGGTGAGTTTTAATGCAGAGATGAAGGACAGCTTTGTTCACAGATCAGACAGTGGGAGGAGGCCACCAGGAGGATGGAGGTTGAAGACCTGTAGTTACTGATGAACATGTAGCAGAATCATGACTTTATTTTCCCTTAAAGGCAAAAATTAAAGAGATGGTGGAGTCCTTTTTTCCTGCTTTTCAGTTTTCTCAGGAGCTGTAACAAATTTACTGACTTTTTACTTTTCTGATGACTTTGTTTTCGTAGGTAAGTTAGCATTTTCCTCTTCACGGTAAAGAGACTGTAAGGGAACAATCTTTTTCACATAGTCCTGAAAATTATATCACCATATTTTGGTTTTATACCAATAAAATACACTTGAAACCCCCCCAAAAAAAGAAATAAAGATGACTCTGTGGTTAACAGCACTGTCTGCTCCTCCAGAGGCCCTGGGTTCAATTCCCAGTCCCCACATGGTGGCTCATAACTATATGCCTTCAGTTGCAGGGGATCTGAGTCATCTTCTGTCCTCCACAGGCACCAGGCACACATGGTACACTTACATACTTGCAGATAAAATACACATACACAACACAGAATGAAATACAATAAAATAAAGAGATTGATTGGCTGAATGGTTGGTTGGTTAGCTGGCTGGCTGGCTGGCTGGCTGGCTGGTTGACTGGTTGGTTAGTTGGTTTACATGCCCTATATTAGTGAGTTCTTTTGACAAATCCTGTGATGATAACAATGGACGAGGCAAGTGTGATCCTGCTATCATGGAAGACACAAAGATGCCACCACTCTTCCGTATCCACAGGTTCTGTCACAGATTCCAGTGCAAATTAAAACTGTTTGGGTAAAAAGTATCTGCTGGAAATGTGCTGGATATTTTTTGTCTTTCAAAGTATCACTTAAAAAAAAAGCACTATTGTGCTTAGACATGCCAGATGAAGAGAAGCTAAGGGAGGCCGCAGTAAGAGGAACCCACGCTAGACATCAGAACCATTGTGAGCCATGAACCCAAGAATATTAGTCATATCTTTTTATGTTCTGTGTTTTGATGCTTTGCCATCTGGAGTCTTGCTAACCTCAGAGGACTGTCCATCCCAGGGTGAGCCAACGAAACTATTATGGCTTCAGGCTTTCTTTTAAGAGTGGTTTAATTACAAGTTCAATTTTCTTTGAGTTGGCTAAGACTAGCCAAATTATCCGTTTTATGTGTAATGACTGCGGAAGTTTTGATTTTGAAGAATTTGTCAAATGTATGCATGTAAAGATGTTTGACTAGAGTGGAGTCTCCAAACCCAAGTGAGACACCAGCTTCACTCTCGATGTTGATAATAATTGTAGTCATTGCTTTTTCTCTTACTAGAATTCTATTAACTTTATTGATATCAAAGCTCCTTTTTTGTTATTGCCTGCTTGTTTGTTGAGACAGGGTTTCTCTGTGGAGCCCTCACTGTCCTGGAACTCCCTCTGTAGACCAGGCTGGCCTCAGGCTCACAGAGATCCACCTGCCTCTGCCTTTCTTCTTTCATAGACTGTGCTTTGTTGTTTTTCTTTTCAGTTGCTTGGCATTTATGCTTACTTCATTTCCTTGAAAAGGCTTGCTTTCCACAGTTACCAAAGTTCCCAGACTAGAAGCTTTGGTTACTGGTATCTGATTTTCCGCTTTTCTACTCTATGTATGGGAAGGTGTGAAATTCCTATCACTGCACTGCAGTGGGGGTACCCACAAATTCTAATGTGCCGCATTTTCCCTCCACTCAATGTGTGCCTGAATCCCTTTGAGAGTCCTCTCTGACCCATAAATTTTTCCAAATATACCTGTGAGTTTTTTTCATGTTTGGAATTTTTCCCACTGCTTTTCTGAATTGATTCTAGTTTGATTCTGTTATATCGGAGAATAGGACACATGCTTTTAATTCTCTTAAATTTGTCGCAGCTTCTTTGTGGCTTGGGTTATGGTCTATCTAGGTACATAACGTGGAGCCTGAAAAGAATGTGTTCAGCAGCTGTAGAATTTTCTATAATTGTTCATTCGCTGCTGTTGATTGATGGCCTTATTCCTATGCCTACTTCCTGGTTCTCTGCCTACTCACTGCAGTGGCTGTTAAGCTGGAAGCAATGGACGGTGGTTGCTCATGCCTTTAATACAGCACTTGGGAGGCAGAGGCAGACAGATCTCCAGGTTTGAGACCAGCTGGTCTACAGAGTGAGCTCTGGGACAGCCAGGGCTACATGGGAAAACCCTGTCTCAAAACAAACAAAAAAGATGGGAGCATTCAATTGCCAACTCTACTCGTGGATTTGGCTTCTTCCTCCTTCTGATCCTGTCAGGTTTGCCTTCAGACACTCTGCAGTTCTTTTCAGGGAACTTAGTTTTCATGGTGTCCCTCTCTACCTCTGGTCGCTCTCTTTTCTCCGAGATGCACTGTATCTCTTAGCCATTTAAAAAGCCACCCCTGATTTCTTTTCATAAATACTTGTGTAGCGTAGAATTTTCCCCTTTTCGTTACATTGTATTTGAAGAGAATTTCTCATAAATGGCACATCGTTAAGTCCTATTTTTAATCCACTCCGCCGATTGGATTCTGTTTTGTATTTACTTCATTAAAATCACACAGGCTTAATGTCATTACTGGTATGGAAGAGTTTCCAATTGCTGCTCCATTTATTGCTTTCTGCTTCTCATTCCCCTCTTTCGTCTTTAGGCTGCCGTGAGTGACTTGGATTGTCTTACTCCCTGTCACTTTCTACTGGTTTTGAATGTCTGCCCGTGTAGCTTTTCTACAGACGGCCATTCTTGTGTTATATCACAGATCCACACACAGTCCACTGGCGTCATTATTCTACCAGCTCAGCCGAGGTGTAAGCGTCTTCCCTTACAAGACATTTGTCGACACAGCTGCCTTGGCCGCTCATGCACAGCCCGTGTGGAAGAATGAAGTTCACCAAAAACACTGCTCAACTTGCAGCAGGTGATGGCTCCATGAGTTCTCCAAGACAAGGTGTAAAGCCAAGACACTCAGTGAACTTTCCCAGAACACCTAATGGCTGCCAAAAGTGGCTTAAGAAAGCTGGAGAAGGAGTGGCTTTGGCCAGAGCAAGGTTTCCTGCCTCCACCTTGACCTCAGCCTTAAGGTTTTTTAAAAGGGTGACCCGGATTTCGTTCTCTTGTCATGATTTCCACTACACGTGTAAGAAAATTGTCCTGTGCCTTCTTTTACATTAAATAGATGTTCGCCCATGAACCATTTTAAGTTTCTTGTTGTTTCGTAAATGTTTTGCTTAGCTGTTTTCTTAGCAGATGTGGGGAGATTATGACCAACTTTTTAATGTAAAAATGTAGTTTAGAGCAGGCCTGAGCCAGTGATCTCCACCACAGCAGGTTCAAGTCAGCGAACTTCACAGGAACAGGTATGAAGGAACAATGGTCAATGAAGCAGGCCCAAGCCAGAGACCTTTGTGGGATTGGATTCAACCCAGGGTCATCTGCGGAAAAGGTCCAGGTCCCAGCCAGCAACCTCCATGGGAGCAAACCTGAGCCAGCAAATTCAGCCAGGATAGACTCAAGACAGAGACCTCCAGTGGAGTAGGCCTGAGCCAGCGACCTCCATAGGACCAGGCCCAAGCCAGCCACCTCTGTAGGACCAGACCCAAGCCAACTACCTCAGTGGAAGCAGACCCAAGGAAGCAACCTCATGGAAACAGGCCCAAAGGGCCACCAGGATAGCAGAGCAACCCCCAGGAGACCTGAGAGAGCTCCAGGAACACTAAGTGACCTCCAGGATGACTGGTACCATGGCCCTGACTGTACCATGAGAAGCAACCATCTGAGCCTTGGATCCACTAGCACCTGGAGGTTGATCACCAGAGACACAGCCCCAACTACACCAATCAGAGGGAAAGATGAGTAGACAAAATAAGAAGGCATTCAAAACTATAAAGAGCAACAGAACACCAACAAAAACTAGTGGCTCTACAAAAGCAAGACTTAAACACCCCAATATGGATGAAGCAGAAGAAATTACCTAAAAAAATAACTTTAGGAGATTGTTTGAGACCCTTAAAGATGAAATGAAAAATTCCCTCAAAGAAATAGAGGAAGAAAAAAAAAGAAATAGAGGAAGAGACAAATAATAAATCGGAAAAAATCAACAAAGCCCTTAAAGAAAATCAATAAAAAGCAATCAAACAGATGAAAGAAATGATTCAAGACTTAAAAAGCAAAATAGAGACAATAAAGAAAACACAAACTGAGGGAATTTTGGAAACAGAAAATACGGGGAAATAGTCAGGAACCGGAATTACAAATGCAAGAATAAACAGCAGAATATGAAAGATGGAAGAGAGAATCTCAAGCACTAAAGATACAATAGAGGAAATAGAGTCATTGATCAAAGAAAACATTGAATCTAACAAAAGCCTAACACAAAATATCCAGGAAATATGGGACACCATGAAAAGACCAAACCTAAGAATAATAGGGATAGAAAAAAAAAGTTCAACTCAAAAGCACAAAAGATATATTCAACAAAATCATAGAAGAAAACTTTCCCAACCTAAAGAAAGATATGCCTGTGAAGATACAAGAAGCTTATAGAGCACCATATAGACTGGACCCAAAAGAGTCCCCTCACCATATAATAATCAAAACACTAAACATACAGAATAAAGAAAGAATATTAAGGGTTGCAAAAAAAAGTCCAAGTAACATATAAAGGCAGACCTATCAGAATTACACCTGACTACTCAATGGAAACAATGAAAGCCAGAAGGTCTTGGTCAAACGCTATGCAGACATTAAGAGACCACAGATATCAGTCCAGACTACTATATTCAGCAAAACTTTTAATCACCATAGACGAACAAAACAAACAGAGCCAGATTTTACCAATACCTAGCTACAAACCCAGCCCTACACAAAGTACTAGAAGATAACTCCATCCCATGAATAAGGAAAATGTCATACATGTATACAATGAAGTACTGCACAGAAGAAAAAAATAATGTCATCTTTTAATTTTCAGGCAAATGGATAGATCTAGAAAACATCATATTGAGTGAGGTAACCCAGACACAGAAAGACAAATATCACATGTACTCACTCATAAATGGCTTTTAGACATAAAGCACAGGAAAACCAGACTACAATTCACAA